TACATCTTGAATATTGATATTAATGTGGAAAACATTCAAAGAATTTTCAACTGCCATGTCAAACAGATGATATAAACTATAGTATGTGGGCATATCTGCTCTGGGTCATCCTGGTACATCTCCACTTTCCTCACTCAGTAAAGTATTCTTTTTCCTAATGAACCCACAGCTTCTGAGTGGGTAAGTCCTGGGCACCAAGCCTCAGATCTTTGGCAAGGTCCAATTAGGAAAGTCACCTTATGGAAACTCCTTATTTATCTGTTTCCACATTGGCTGATAGCAGTACTCTGAACTGCAGCCTAATGACATCAAAGATCGAAATTCTGAAGAGTTGAGAGTAATGAGAAAGATAGATATTTCTCACTAGAATTTGCAAGTTGAAAGGAATGGTATAGTCTTATTTGTGCAGTTAAATATTCCTAGGAATTTATATTCTCAGTGACTCCAGCATATGAAATCAAAGTGATGACTTTTTTTTTTAATTTCTTTTTGATGTATAAGAGAATTTTTAGGCCAAGTTTCTCTTTTTATTTTTTTTTGGGGGGGAGGGGCTTTGTTTTTTTCATATAACAGTTTCAGGATAAACTATTGGATAAATCTTCAGGTGCAGATATATAGAGGCTTCCAAGAAGTTTCATAATATAGAAATCTTATGAATTTTTAAATTTTGACAAATCTCCAGTTTCTTAACTTTGTATAGTTAGGCCAGAGATCTTGCTCTTATTAGGAGTTCAATATAAAAGGAAAACACATGTAAAATAATTGGTTTTGCACTATGATTTTTTTCTCCCAAGAAACCAGTTTCTAATCATTGAACTCAAGTCTTTTATTGAGTATTTAGAAGGTGTACAAACCACTGTGTGAAATGCTTCAGAGACTTAAAGATGAACTAAAAAGTTATACTTGTCCTCAATGATATTATACATAGTAGATCTTTTAATGGCTTCTCTGAGAGTAATTGTGGAGGTACTGATTCCTTCTGCAAATAGATAAATTATTTTATTTAATTCTATGGGCTATCTGATGACAGTTTCTTCACATTTTCCTTAACCAGAGAGCTCTTCCCACTGGGTATTCAGAAAACTCATCCACTATCAAATAATTTTTTCAATTACCTTTACCATTGGTTACCTTTTCCTATCTGTATTTTAAGAATGTTTCCTAAACAGTGTGGTCTGTTATCAATAACTTTTCATTAGGTATGGTTTTCTAAAAATGAACTCTTTAAGTGTAACGTTAGAGAGTAAACTTGTCTCTTTCTTAATATATATATACTCATTAATTTGATCATCATCCCTGCACAACAATGTGTTTGCTTAAAAAATTTTTAAATAGCTTTATTAAGGTATAATTGATATACAAAGAACTGCATATATTTAATATGGAGTTGTTTACTTTTTTGGACTTGATATCTTGCATGAGGAAGACAATTTTTTTACCATAATTATTCAATTCATGATCATAGCTATACTCTGTTACATGTAACTGAGAAAATTGTGATACAGTCCACTCATTTATCATTAGCCTTCTAACTCAGTTCTAGACGATCTATGGGATTCATAGTCTCAACAAATTGTACAGTCTGAGCAAGGACTCTAGGATATTGCTGACTCAAGGAGCATAATCTCTTCTAGAATGGAGGTGGGAGAAGAATGTCTGCTGATAGATTACATTCAAATTGTAGGTGCTATAAAATAGTGGAGCTATAACCTTAACTAACATCTGAACACTGATTAACTTCTTAGAGTAAGTGAATGTATGCCCACTTTTCATAACTATAAGAAGATAAGCAAAATTCTTGACATAATTTCTTTACTGGAACCAGAATATAAACATCCAAACCCATTGCCCAGTTATTCTAAAAAAGCCAATCAACAAACATTCTAATTATCAATCCTAAATTACCAGTAAATATCCTAAAGCTGATTATTTGCATAGCCATTAGCTTAAAACAACACAGTCAAAACTAAATTAACTCCACCTTTCAGGTTTTGATGTTTCATTTTCCAATTAAATCATCCTATCAATCCTATTGGGGTAAATTGGTCCTTTGAACAAGAAATCTCAAAGGACCCTCGTTTACCTTACACTATGGTTTAGACGGAAAACTTAACATTCATAAAACTGTCTCACTCAGAACAATTGTTCCTCCATCTTTTATGACCCCAAACAGGAACTTCTAGATCAAGAATGTGCCTGAGCACTTAAGATTTTCAAATTAGCTTTCATCAAAATTTTAAAACAGTTTTACTTCCACCCGCAGGTCACCCCATTGCACCATCTGGAGAAGCACACAAATCATTATTACTTTTCCCAACAGAATTTCAAGCATGCTGACATTGAAAGCATGACTCCTTTTTCTAACAACAATGTAAAAAAAATGGCTACTGTTAAGTATATATTATGAGGTATGACATGAAAGGGTCTTTCAAATTACACATTATCTCTATTTTGCTGAAACTGAAAGAGATTAAACAACTTGTCAAAGGTCACACAATTAGGAGTTACCTTGTTGCAAAGTTTATATTTTTCTAGTATACTACATCTTAGAATACTGACATCAGGTAATCCCCAGAGCATATACATTTGTTCATTCATTCATTCAGCAACTATTTAATAAAGCCTATTTAGCTCAAACTGAAAGTATAGTTGAGATTACTGATATTTGAGATATAGCCTATGCATCATGACTGTTCATTGCCCTAGCTCTTAATGATTTATCCCTAAATAGGGTTAAATGAACAGAAGTCAGCATATTTGGATCATACTAGGTTAACTTCCCAAACAATTTCTGTTGTGTGTATGGTCTTCCATTTTGAATTGGCCACCATATGAAAACTGGCCTTGTGATAAACATTTTGATAGCTTTTACAAAACAACAGGAGTTACATTGTCCTCTATTTCCTTCAATATTGTTTAAAAAGCTCTACTTATTCAATTCCATTTGGAACTTAACATCAGTACAAAGTTTACATTTTTAGATAAACTCAAAACTTCCTTTTAAAAACTCAGACTAAAAAAATAAGTAAATAAATGTAAATAAATAAAAACTCAGACAAATAGAAACACACTATATTTCCATTTTTTTTGGTCTTTGTTGTCAAGAAGCATAAAGTGACATGTAAATCTCAGTAGCAATAACTGTCTTATTTTAGGTCCATTTGTTTACCTTTTATTCTCTAAATAGTTTTCAATCTCTTTTATAAGTCTAGGTTTTGATTAAATATTGTATTTTTGAAAGTAGATAGGCAACAAATAAACAAAGAAAAAATAATTGGGAATGTTATGGTTCCTTACCCTGTTACATAATTTACCAAAAAAAAAACCCCAGGCTTTTCACAGTTTCCAGCAATGCTTTCCCATGAATAATGTACTTTAGCATTCAATTTCTGTTCACCATTCTACAGTAAGCATAAGATTCTCAGGAAACACTTAGGATCTGGGCACTCTCCAGAAAAATTTCCATGTGTGTGAAAATTGTGGGAAAGTTAACCTAAAAAGAAAAGCAAATTACTGCAAATTCACCACAGTACCAAAAAATGTGCTCAAAACACAGCTCATTAACTCTGCGTGTTCCACAGAGTCATCATTAAGATCATCAGTGTGGGTTAAATGGACAAAAGAAATATCCAACCTGGAAACATATATATTGTATTCTCAAAACCTATATGGGGGTAAAAAATAAACAATCTCTTCAGTATTTCCTTATGACAACACTTACGCTCTTTGCATATTTTAGCGAGAAAGTTTTAAGTATGTAAGAAATAAACTCACCATATCTGGAAGTTCATGAATGATTTGAAACAATGAAATGACTTAGGACAATGAGAAAGTATAAATGTATCCATCCTTAAAGACCAAGAAGAATGACTGCACTTCAGAGAAACCAAAGGCACTTTATGAATTTGTTAGCAATTGCATGTGTTGTTAGAAGTCGCTCTATTATAAAACTTTATTAAAAAATATTTATACTTTTCATTGAATTAGATTTATCCCCTCTGAAAGAATTCATGTTCTTAATAAGTAAATTGGCATCATATGTTCAATATAAAACTGTTGCAATGGGAAAGAAAAAGACTAATTAAAAGCTGGAAGAATTTTATAGTTGGTAAATTAAATTTAAAAAATTACATAAAGTATTAACAAATATTTTATAAAGTGGATATAAATTTTTATATATAGCATATACAATTATATGAAAGTTGTAACAAGTAAGGTGTAAGGGAAGGGCCGAGGGAAGGCAAATGGGTTGTCATTGGTGTTTGCCATATATACATGCATTTATTAGCATCTGTTTTATAAATTCCAAATATATACTAATTATCTATAGAAAAATACTTTGCTCAACGCCCAGAGAAGAATATTTGATATGGACTCACCTGAATGCATACATGATTATCTTTAGAAAACATCGAATCACCTGGTTGCAAAAGAGGCTCGCTTTTCTCACAGCTCTCTTGGCTGATAAGCGTGTCTGCGTAGTTGGGCTGCGGGAAGATCAGGTGACTCTTCCGTGAGTCCGCAGTGAGGGACACCTCGTGCGAATAGGTCTGCAGGAACGCCCGCACCCCGTCCACGCCCACAAACTGCGAGGCGGGCACACTAGCTAATCCGCCTCCTGAAGCCTGGAACAGACGTGACGCGTGCCAATGCCTCAGTCTGAGCGCCAGCAGCACGATGACGAAGGCAAGGAAGACGCAAGAAACAGCAGCCACCGCCACCACGAGGTACAGGGTGAGGCTTGAGGCGTCAGAGTTGTACGGGACCTCCAGGCTGCCTAAGTCAGATAGGATGGCTGGGATACTGTCGGCCACGGCCACAGTGAGTGTGATGGTGGCCGAGAGAGGGGGCTGGCCGTGGTCCTGGACAGCCACCACCAAGCTCTGCTTGATGGTGTCTCTGTCCAGTAGGGCCCGCGCTGTGCGCACCTCGCCCGTGTGCAGTCCCACCGCGAAGAGCCCTGGCTCACTGGCCTTGAGCAGGCGGTAGGACAGCCAGGCGTTCTGGCCCGAGTCTCTGTCCACTGCCACCACCTTGGTCACTAGGTAACCGGGCTCTGCAGAGCGGGGTGCCAGCTCCACGCCGGTGGAACCATCAGTGGGGAGGGCAGGGTACAGAATCTCTGGCGTGTTGTCGTTCTGGTCCAGCACAAATATGCTTAGTGACACGTTGTTGCTAAGCGGCGGGTCCCCACTGTCACGCGCAGTCACTCTCAACTGCAGGTCACGCGACTGCTCATAGTCGAAGGAACGCAATGCGTACAGCACCCCCGTGTCTGAGTTGATGGAGACATAGGAAGACAAGGGCGCTCCCTGGAGGGTGTCCTCAACTAGGGAGTAAGTGACCTGAGCGTTCTTTCCATAGTCGGGGTCGTAGGCGGTCACGGAGACAATGGAGGCTCCTCTGGGGTTGTTCTCTGGGATATAGGCAGTGTAGGAGGAATGAGAAAAGGCAGGTGGGTTGTCGTTGATGTCTGCCACATTCAGTGAGATGTGAGTTTCTGTGGACAAGGACGGACTTCCTCGGTCAGTGACGGTCACTGTGATGTTGTAGCTAGGAACCAGTTCTCGGTCCAAGAGTGTGTCTGTCACTAAACTATAGTAATTCTCATAAGACTTTTCTAATTTAAAGGGCAGATTCCCTTGGATGAAACAGATCACATGTCCATTTTCCCCAGAGTCTTGATCATTTACATTTAAAAGGGCGATTAATGTGCCTCTGGGAGAGTTTTCCAGAACGGAGCTGGAGAGAGAGGTGACAACTACTTCAGGAGCATTGTCATTCACATCCACAACTGTGATCAAGACTTTGGCTCGTGCAGAGTATCCTGCATTATCCATTGCTTGCACTTCCATCTCGTAGAATCCCGATTCCTCGTGGTCCAGCTCCCCTATTGTTGATATTGTCCCTAAATTACAGTCTAGCTTGAAAAGTTGGGCCGCCTTGTTGTCCACATACCGGAAGGAATACATCACTTCCGCATTGGCTCCTTCGTCTGGGTCGGTGGCGTTTACCAGAAGCAGCGTAGTGCCCACGGCCACATTCTCTGGAACGCTGACGCGGTACTCGGACTGAGCAAACGCTGGTGCGTTGTCGTTCGCATCAACGACCTTCACTCGGATGCGCGCGGTGCCAGTGCGCACTGGCTCGCCCCCGTCGGAGGCCGTGAGAACCAGTTGGTGAACCGCCTTTTCCTCGCGGTCCAGGGCTCGCTCGAGCACCAGCTCCGGGTACTTGTTACCATCCGCTTCGCTTTGCACCTCCAGAGAGAAGTGAGTATTGCTACTGAGCTCGTAGCTCTGGAGAGAGTTCTTCCCGATATCGGGATCCCAAGCGTGGGGAAGGGGGAACTGCATCCCAACGGCTGCGTTTTCACTCATTTTTATTTCTAATTCATCTTCCTGGAAGTAGGGGGCATTATCATTGATGTCCTTCACTTCTACCACCACCCCATATATTTTCACTTTATCCATCAAAATCTCCAGGTTTAGTTGACACTTTATGGCCCCCATACAGAGCTCCTCCCGGTCTATCCTGCCCGCGGTGACCAAGCTGCCGCTTCGCAGATTCAGAGCGAAAAGTTGCATCCTACCTCCTGAAAAGATGCGGACTCCGCGCTCCTCCAGTTCCTGGGCCTCCAGCCCCAGATCCTTGGCAATGTTGCCCACCCTCGAGCCTTTCTCCAGCTCCTCAAGAACTGAATAGTGGATTTGAGTGTATCCAGTTTCCCACAGAATCCCCAGGAGTACTCCCAGCAGGACCAGCCCTTTGCAGTCCTGGTGCAGTCGCACAGGAATCATTGTAACTTTTCTGGAGGATTATTTCCAGTTCTGTCTTTGACCACCGAAGGCAAGATCAGCTCTTCCGTCATTAGAATCCGTCAGCTGGGGGACCAGAGCTCCTCCGCTCAGTTTCCTCTGTCCCAGAGGAGATGGTTCGTTTCTATCTGTGCTTTGTGCTTCAGGCGCGTGCACTGCAAGCAGGATCTCGCCGCTTTTCTCTCCCCGATTGGTGAACAGCGGCGCTCAGAGTCTTAACCAATTACTGCACAACCTTGAACTTCGGGAAAGGATTTTTGGATTTTAGACCTTCAATAGCCCCATCTACTGTCCTTCAAATATGGATGAAAATGAAGCCGACTAAAACTACAGTATTTGTTTTAATCGAAATTTCAGTGAGCTTCTTTTTATTTCCCTGAAATGTTTCATATAGGTCCACTTTCTTGAGATTTTCTGTAGATTTTTCCAATGAGCTTTTAAATGAACTTGAAGTTTCTATACACAGCAATTTTATCCCTATAATTTTAGATCACCTGTTTTGATATCACCCCTAAAAGAACATCCATTATGGAACATTTCCCTGGGAGTTTACCATTTTGAGAAATCATGTAAAGAATAATTTAAAATTTCTCACTCAAGTAAAATTTGGGGCAATTTTTGATAGATTCTTAAATCTGCCTAAATGGAAGAACTACTTTAACATGTTGACACTTAACTTTAAAAACCAAATTTTCACAATAATATAAAAATGTAAAAATAAGACATGTGATTGTACACATCAGAATCACAGGAAGTTGAGAAGACACATGAACATGTTTGGAACAAAATGGAATCATTCTAACTCAAATTTACTGGAAATAAGGGTAGTTTTCTAAAACTCTAATACATTATATTTCAAAAGAATTTGTAGAAAAGTTAATAATCCAAAGAATATTACAAACTTACCTTTTTCTGGGTAATAACCTTAATTCCAATTATTGAGAATTACTGGCAATACATTTGCGAGCCTATCTAAATAGAGAAAAAAATTCTCACCATTTTGCTTTCATGAATGCAAATATTTATATTCTGAGGATAACTACATTTAGCAGGCATACCAGAAAATAATATTTTTTAAATTAGAAAGAAATATACAGGCAAATCTGAGAAAAGATTGGAGGTAATATTGACCTACTCAGTGGGATTCAAAGAATCCCTAGCAAATGTACCTGCATATTATAAAATCATCAGTCTTTTTAAAAAGCCCCTTTTCATGCATTTTCCTCTCATACTTCATAGTTAATAGGGTAAAGAAAATTAAAGCAAACCATTTGCAGATGAAAGATATTAACTGAAACTCACGTGAGTAGAAGTAAGAGAGTTAGAGCTTAACTTGTTCTCCTCAGTGACACTTACTACCAAAGATGCTTCATTAGAAAGATCTTGTGGGAGAACCGGTTCTGGCGTCATACAGACAAAATCAAACCTCGTTTTCTGAGAATTGGAGGCATACAGATTGTAAGAATAAGGTAAAGTTCCCTCGCTGTAGTTGGGAGAAACTCCTGGTCCAGTCTTAGAACAGAGACCAGCCTGAAAGCAGCCCCAGGCGGCCGGGTTAGAGGGGCGTCGCAGGCGCAGGGCAATGGCCAGAATCACCGCGAGAAGGAAGAGCACGGAGATCAAGGCCAAGGCCACTACCAGGTAAAACTGCAGCTCAGCTTGGGGATCAGCGGGCATAGGACGGTCGCTGAGATCCGGTAGCGCCTCTTGTAGGCTGTCGGCGAAGACCAGGAGCAGCGTGGCGGTGGCCGAGAGGGGTGGCTGTCCCCCATCGCGCACAGCGACCAGCAGGCGCTGGCGGGCAGCGTCCCTGTCGCCCAAAGCCCTCGCCCGTGCGCAGCCCCAAGCTGAACAGTCCGGGCTCGCTGGCCTGCAGCACGTGGTAGGACAGCCAGGCGTTGTGTCCCGAGTCCGCGTCCACCGCCACCACCTTGGTGACCAGGTAGCCGGGCTGCGCGGCGCGCGGCACCGTGTCGAAGAGCGCCGAGCCGTCGGGCCCCAGCGTCGGGTACAGCACCCTAGGCGCGTTGTCGTTGCGGTCGCCCACCAACACGCGCAGGCTCACGTTGGCGCTGAGCGCGGGCGAGCCCTGGTCGCGGGCCTGCAGCGTCAGCTCGAAGGCGCGCAGCTGCTCGTGGTCGAAGGCGCGCTGCGCGAACACCACGCCGCTCTGCGCGCTCACGGACACGTAGGACGACAGCGCCCGCGGCTCCAGGTCGCTGGCCACGATGGAGTAGGAGACGTGGCCGTTGGGTCCCAGGTCGGAGTCAGAGGCGCTGACTTGGGCGATGGAGGCCCCGGGTGGGTTGTTTTCTGGCACATGGACCAGGTAGGAGACCTGGTGGAAAACCGGGGCGTTGTCGTTGACGTCGCCGATGTGTAGGGTGATGCTTCTGCTGGAGGAGAGGGGCGGTTTGCCTCTGTCCATGGCTGCGATAGTGACGTTGTACTCCGGGGTCTGTTCCCGGTCCAGGGCCCCATCTGTTACAAGCTTGTAGTAATTATTGGCGGAAGATTGAATTTTAAAGGGAACTTTCTCTTTTATGAGGCATGTGACCTCCCCGTTTTCTCCTGAATCTTTATCATGTATTTTGAACAAAGCAATCGCGGTTCCGAGCTCTGCATCTTCAGTTATGGAACTAGACACGGAAGTGAAAACCACTTCTGGGGCGTTGTCATTCTCATCTAGAATTTCTAGTACAATTTTACATTCAGTGGCCATGCCTCCACTGTCCTTGGCTTCTATGCTCATGGTATAACTGCTTCTGATTTCAAAGTCTATAAGGGCTTTGGATTTAATCTCTCCACTCTGACTGTCTAGCATAAACATATTTCCAACATCTCCTAGTGTTCTGAAGGAATAGGTGATCTCTGCATTGATGCCCTCATCCTGGTCTGTGGCTGTCACCTTTAGCACAGAAGTGCCTGAGGGCAAGTTCTCACGCAGGCTAACTTTGTATACATCCTGACTAAACACTGGGGGGTTATCATTTGCGTCAGTGACCTCAATACTGATTTGAGTAGTGCCAGTTCGGACTGGATCACCCCCATCCACCGCTGTCAGGAGCAGGAGATGGGAGCTCTGTCGTTCCCGGTCCAGGGACTTCTCCAACACTAATTCTGGAGCGTTCTTGCCTTCAGTCTTATCCTTCATCATCAGAGAGAAGTGCTCATTATAGCTGAGTTGGTAACTCTGGAGAGAGTTAGCCCCTACGTCTGCATCTATAGCGGATTCCAGGCCAAACCGAGTTCCTGGAATTGCTAATTCATTGATTTGTAAAACAATGCTATTTTGGGGAAAATGAGGTGGATTGTCATTTATATCTTCTATCACCACATTTATGTGAAAAACATTTAGAGGGTTCTCTGCTACAATCTCTAAAGGCAGGACACACAGACGGTTTGGCGGGCAGAGCGACTCCCGATCTATTCTGTCACTCACAAGTAAGTTCCCGTTCTTTGTGTTTATGGTAAAGTATTGCTTCTCTGCACTAACTCTGAGATTGCGAGTCAATAAATCTCGTACATGCAGCCCCAGGTCCTGAGCGAGGTTCCCCACCACAGAGCCCCTGGCCATTTCTTCGGGAATGGAGTAGCGGATCTGCTCTGAGAGCGTCCCGCAGAACAAAGGCAGCAGGAAAGGAAAGAGTACTTGCCGCCTCTGGGTACTGCTGCTCTGCTTCGCCCTATTTCCCATCCTTCTCTGCGCCGCTGCGACCTCCGACGTTAAGAGAAGATGCTTTCTGTACAGTTTGTGTTTAGAACATCCACCACGTAGAAAACTCAAAGCTCCCAGTTTGAAGGCATCCCAATCAGCATTCCAGAATCAGATTTGCCAGAGCAGTGGTCCGTCCGGGCCACTTGCCTTTCAGACTTGCTTTTGTGACTGCGCAGAAAATCACCCTAGTGGATCCTGGACTCCGGTTCTTGCAGCACATTGGCCAACAGCGGCGCTCGGAGTTTATTTAGAAAACTGCAGTCAGAAGCCTTGCAATTGATGGGATTCGGTATTCCGACAGATATGGCTGCTGTATAGGGATCCAGGCAGTTTATGAGTTTTAGATGTGTCTGTTTTCCAGTGTTTACTATCAAAGAAGTTTCCTTAGAGATGGGGCCCTATAGAAGAGCCATTAATCCAGTAATGAGAGAAGTGTCTTTTTCTAATGAGGCAATGCAGTTACTGGAAGAACAAAGCAGTCTTCTCGCCACTTAGAACAAAGACCACGTGGGAAAATAGCCCCACCAAGTGGTATGGGGAGATTTTGACACCCAGTATTAGCTTCGATCTTGTATACAGATAATTTTCCTCTTTCATTTATCAGAGGAAACTGGAGGAGAGCTCAAAGCTTATCTAGGGTATACTCAGGACAAGAATGGTCAATGCCATTCTTGTTATTTATAAAAGACTTATGAAAGGGAATAAGTTTTACATTTTCATCATAAACAGCACATAAAAGCATACCCTAGTGGGTTACCATAGAAATTTAATGACATGAAATGTGAGGGTGTTTTATTTTTATCATTTTATTTAACTGGACTATATGTTATACCTTAACAGAGCTTTATCACTACCTCAAAATAACCTTCTTAATATCAAGTTTCAAAGCCAATCTTTCCTTTTTATTTTCCAAGATCTTGGTTTCCAGTTTCTAACAGTTTAAACTATGTTTTAAAAAATATAAAACACCTCCCTCTCTCAGCAAATACCTCATATGCTTTTTATTCATCTAATTTCAAGTTCAAGTAAAATGTATTCAATCTTTTTTTCTCAGTTTGGATTTCCATAAGCATAATTCTACCCCGATATGCTCAAAACATACTAACATTTTTCTTGACTTCAAGACAAAGTTATGCATCTATTATAAGACTTCCCTCTCCTACAGTTGAAATTCTTTTCCTCTAAACATCAGACATTCAATTTATAGTTAATCACATTAAGGTCAATTCTTAAACGAGAAGGAAAATTTGAAAAGGAACATAACTAGGTAAGTAATTTGAGCCAAATATCTAGAAGTGGTGTGAGAGTATTGGGCTAAATCGATTATGGAGATGATTCCTGTGATCAAATCCCCTAGATAAGTCTCCTTTCCTCACTTGACTTTCCAAGACATTGCTTCAGATAACACATGCAGTACTAGGTAACTTGGGGTTTCAATAATGAGTTGGTTCTGAATATAAGAAACAAGTATACTTAGATATAATGCAAAATGAGTTTACGAAGGAAATAAAGAAGTAATCCATGACTCATAGGCATATTGAAAACACACAAAATTATCTAGAGGCATACCAGCTAAATCAGTTTCTTATATAGTCTATATACCCACTCCATCTCTTATATTAACAGGCTATTCTATATGAATAAATCTGAAAAATGTGAACATGTTTAACAGATTTGAAAATAACTTTTTAATAAGCACTGGATCAAAATTAAGTTATTTCTGTGACTTTACTACATTAAAAACTCTTCAACATAGACACTAAAGTACAAGTAAAAGAATAAAAGAAAATAACACTAGTTCACCAATTCAGTTATTTCTTCAGAACAACCTAATGATTTAACTCTAGAAATAGAAAAGATGCCTAGAACTTAAGAAACAAGGAGTGTCCTACCTTTCCTCTCCTAAGGGAGTCTAGTAATTAAAAGGCAGTCAACATTTCTGTTTCAGTGGGATAAATAAAGGAGACAAAGTCAAAATAATCAACAGGATCTAAACATATTACCAGCCATCAAATATCAAAATATTTGTTTTGTGCTAAGAGAAAAGCTTACATGTGTAAACATGGACATGCGTGTGAGTGTGTGTATGTAAATTGAAAGATGAGCTAGAGAGTATGCTATTGAATCAACAGACTCAAATTTGAGCATTAGAAGTCAAGCAAATAATGGCAGAATATAATTAAACCAGTGGAGGCGATGCAAAGTTGAAACAGGGGAATAAATAAAAAGTGTTTATGAATCATAACCAGTTTACATTGATAGCCACAGACACTGACGATAGAAAAATATTACTAAAATTCAACTTACTGAAAAGCAAGTCATGATAGCTAAACTGGACCTTTGGAATCAAAAGAAAATATACCAGAACTTTAAAAAATGACTTTCACAAAACTTTTCTGAAAAATGATGGTAATTCGATGAAAGGTATAAAGTACACAAACTCACATGTATTGCTCTAAGTCTGTATGAACTGCATATGCTGACCCCCAAAAGTTTTTATAACAGTCTCTCCAAAAACGCCACTTAATAGACTTGTGCAGATACACTAGTAATTGGGACGCAGAAACAAAATCTCACCTGATTACTTGTAGGTTCACACTTGACTACACCGTTAAGTGAATCTTCAACTATCAAGAGAGGCTCGCTTTTCTCACAGCTCTCGTGGCTGATGAGCGTGTCCGCGTAGTTGGGCTGTGGGAAGATCAGGTGACTCTTCCGCGAATCCGCCGTGAGAGACACTTCGTGGGAATAGGTCTTCAGAAACGCCTGTACTCTGTCCACGCCCACAAAGTGTGAGGTGGGCACGCTTGCCAATCCGCCTCCAGAAGCCTGGAGCAGGCGTGACGTGTGCCAGCGCCTCAGTCTGAGCGCTAGCAGCACGATGACAAAGGCGAGGAAGACACAGGAGACCGCAGCTACCGCTACTACCAGGTACAGAGTAAGACTCGAGTCGTCGGGGTTGGTGGGAGACTCCAGGCTGCCCAGATCAGCTAGGACCTCTGGGATGCTGTCGGCTACAGCCACGGTGAGTGTGACAGTGGCCGAGAGAGGGGGCTGCCCATGGTCCTGGACGGCCACCACCAGGCTCTGCTTGAGGGCGTCTCTGTCCAGCAGGGCCCGCACTGTGCGCACCTCGCCTGTGTGCAGCCCCACCGCGAAGAGCCCTGGCTCGCTGGCCTTGAGCAGGCGGTAGGACAGCCAGGCATTCTGGCCCGAGTCTCTGTCCACTGCCACCACCTTGGTCACCAGGTATCCGGGCTCTGCAGAGCGGGGCGTCAGTTCCACACCAGTGGAACCATCAGTGGGGAGAGTAGGGTACAGGATCTCTGGTGTGTTGTCGTTCTGGTCCAGCACGAATATGCTCAGCGACACGTTGCTGCTGAGTGGAGGATCCCCGCTGTCACGCGCCATCACTTGTAGCTGCAAGTCACGGAACTGCTCATAGTCAAAGGAGTGCAGGGCATACAGGATCCCGGTATCCGAGTTGATAGAGATGTAGGAGGACAGGGGTGCTCCCTGTGCGGTGTCTTCAACCAGGGAGTAAGTGACCCTGGCATTCTCTTCGCTGTCCCGGTCAAGTGCAGTCACTGAGAAGAAGGAGGCTCCTCTGGCGTTATTTTCAAGAATGTAGGCTGAATAAGAGGAGTGAGCAAAAGTGGGCGCGTTATCATTGTCATCTGCAACGTCCAGTGAAATGTGAGTTTTTGTAGACAAGGGTGGACTTCCCTGATCTGTGGCTGTCAATGTTATATTGTAGCTCTGGATGTGCTCTCTGTCCAGCACTCTGTTTGTCATCAACTTGTAATAATATCCATAAGTCTTTTCCAAATTAAAGGGCAGATTGTTAGGAATAAAACAAGAGACTTGACCATTTTCTCCAGAGTCTTGGTCTTGCACATTCAGAAGAGCAATTACTGTACCTGGAGGAGAGTTTTCCAGCACTGAGTTAGTAGAAGATGTGATCGTTATCTCTGGAGCATTATCATTTACATCCACAACTGTGATCAACATCTTGGCAGTGGTGGAGAGACCTCCACCATCTTGGCCTTGAATTTCCATCTCATAGAATCTATATTTCTCAAAATCCAGAGGCCCCTGTATTAACACTTCTCCAGTTTGAGAATCCAACTGGAATATTTCAGAAGCTCTGCTTTCCATATCCCGGAATGAATACACCACTTCCCCATTGATTCCCTCATCTGGATCAGTTGCGTTGACCACTAGCACCCGAGTTCCAGAGCTGAGGTTCTCAGGAACGCTCACTCTATATACAGACTGCGTAAATTTTGGAATATGGTCATTTATGTCGAGGACCACCACGCGAATGGGAACCGTGCCCTGGCGGATGGGATCTCCTCCATCTAAGGCTGTGAGAAAGAGGAGGTGAGCAGCCTCTTTCTCCCGGTCCAGGCTCCCCTCCAGCACTAGCTCTGGATTTTTGGCCCCATCGGTTCTGCCTCGCACTTGCAAGGAAAAGTAGCTATTAGAGTTGAGCTGGTAGCGCTGGAGTGAGTTGATTCCTACATCTGGGTCCCTAGCGTTAGGAAGGGGAAATCGCGATCCCGGAGTTGCGTGCTCACTAACTTTTATCTCCACTTCCTCCTCCCGAAAGCTGGGGGCGTTATCATTAATATCCATTATTTCCACTTCCACTCCGTAAATCTTCAGGGTATCTTCTACAAGTATCTCTATATTTAAAATACATGAGGACATCGTCTCACAGAGCTCCTCCCGGTCTATCCTGCCCGCGGTAACCAAGCTGCCACTTCGCGGATTCAGAGCGAAAAGCGGCGTCTTTCCTCTGGAGACAATGCGGACGCGGCGCTCCGCTAGCTCCCAGGGCTCCAGCCCCAGGTCCTTGGAAATATTGCCCACGAAGAAGCCTTTGTCTGTCTCTTCGGGCACCAAGTATTGGATATGCCGGGCCCCAGACTCCCGCAGCGTCCCTAGGAAAATGTACAGTAGGACCAGCCCTCTGCGGTCCAGGCGTAGTAGCTGATTCGCCATGGCTGTGGCTGAGCTGATAAATCCGCGGTTTCTTGAGCCGGTTTTTTCTGACTCAGCTTATGTATCTACGAAGTCCCGGGCCGACTGCATCCAAAATATATTAGAGAGCGAAGAGAAGTCCGTACATTAAGTTTCCAGCATCAGAATCTTTGGGTATCCATCTCACTCTGCTTTGTGTTATAGAGATGGGGAAGGGAGGGACTCTGTAGCGCGCGGCCTCCCATTCCCTGGTTGGTGAACAGCGGCGCCTAGAGTCCAATCTTATTATTGCAACTAGTAAGAAACCCCAACTAATAATGAGCCTGTTCCAGAAGTTAATGAATACACTCACCTCTTTGAGAATCGCACGTACGATATATGTAAAGCTTAAAATCGCAGACGATAGATATATAATGTGATGTTAAAGAGTATTTTTGGAAAGGATTATTAAGAGGGTTTGCTTAAATTTTTTTTTAAGTTTTCAAATACTATGGGAACTGCAAACTTGCAGGTTAGATTAGGTCTCTAGTGATTTTTACTGACTGAAGGAACAGCATTTGTGGATGTGGGTATATCACAGTCCCAACAAAATCATTAGATAAGATGCATGACTATAATTCTTACCTATGTTTCTTTACTGAGAAAAATAATGAAACGTTTGAGAAAATATGGATGGCATTAGGGCTGGCTGTTATATAAAATGCCACGATATAAAAATATAACTGTATTCCATATCCTTAATTAAAAGGCATTCAATTTCATGAAATTTCACCGGAGATTTCTCTATATAGTTACCTTAAAATGTATTTGAGTATTAGAAGCATTTAGTATGGTAAACTTTAGTCTTAACAGCGATATCCATAGGTCTAACCAAGATTTATTTTAGGAACTTTATCAAGAGATTGAAACCAGGATCTTGAAATAATAGCACTATATTAGTACATATTGGCACAACGAAATATAAAAAAACATTCTTTTAACTACTTACCTGTTTAAAAGCCTTCTTATCTGCTTCAACACTAGGAGTTAGAATGCTAGCCAATACCACTGAAGAACTATCTTTGTTGAGAGTATCTTGTGTGGACGGACAATGATCAACAGATGTGAGAAAACTAAATTTGGGGTTAGTTTGATCGCCAGGCACACACAAATTATAAGCATAAGGCAACGTTCCCTCATTGTAGTTGGGGGGAATCTCGGGTCCAGAC